CCTTTTTTAACTTAGAATTCAACAAATGTCCTGAACCAGATCTTGTGGTCCAATGGTTCGATTTTAAGCCTTAAGTGCTTGGGTGAGGTGGTTGGAGTTTCAAACTCCACCACCGTCGTGAATTTCACAAAAAAACGACCTGATGGCCTCGTGCTTCATTTGAGGAGGTGGAATGTTTACTCGGTTTAAAAACCAATTGCTAACAATTAACTCACTAACTTCTTAACCCTTGCCAAAAAAAAAAAAAAAAGGAAAGAAGAAGTCCCCTTATTGTTGGAAAAGTGAATGAAGCTCTCTTGATTTCTTTTTTGTAAAATCACAGCAAATAATGGATATGCAGATGATTTATAAATTTTACAATGAATGCAAAATATTTAGAAGATATGGAATTTGAGAAGTTAAATCAGTTACATTCCGCAAATTAATTTCCCCCATTTAGTACCTATCTTTTTTCTGAATTATTCACTGTTGTTACATACATGATCGTTCTGCATTCTTTGCAATATATAATCCCCAAGAATGGTCCTGTCTGGCCTTTCTAGTTTCTAATGCTTTTCTGTTGCTTTCTCCTTTCTTCCTCTGCCATTCACTCAATCTGTCCATGTGCTCCCAAACTCAGAACCAGGAATACTGCATACGGTTATTACAGAGCGATCCGCTCTCAAGCTCTGTAGACTTACCCTTCCTCTCATTGATATCCCTAGAGTTGGCAATCCATCATCATTAGTTGTCACAGCAGAAGCGGTTTAAGAAGATCACTAACCTGGGTGGGTTGACTACTCTCGCTTACAACTGTGAGAATGGGCTGCCTTTATGCTCCCCAACAGCTTCCATCACTGAGGATATGCTTCTTATACCCTCCAGACTGCAATTTATGTCAATGAATATGTTCAATCAACTCCAGAGTCCAATTAATGTTTAATCAACTCTTTTTTAAGGTTTTAAAAATGAATCCTGGTTTTGTTTCTTTGTCAATATAATAAAGTTTGCTTTTGTTAGCTACTTACGTTCAAATTTGATTCCTCTAGGTTTCTAACAGAAAGATGCACCATTGCTATATGACTACAAAACACTTGAAGCAACCAGTGGGAAGTTAGACCGAAACGTGCTTATATAAATTGACTGTGATGTAAAGCATTAGCAGTCATCAATTTTTCCCAAATGTTATGTCCAAAACAAGTACAAATTGTGGTACTCTCTGACAAAATTTACTCTAATGAATATGTTGAACGAGTATAGACTGTGGTATTGATGGACAAATCAAGCTCGTATCCTGATGAATGTCCGGGGGAATTAGCCTGAATATGAAGGGGTCAAGGAGGAGCATTATGCTGACAGACTGAGTGACCGGTTGAGGAAGGAGGTGCTGGTTCCACTTCGAAAAGTGTTGGAGTTGCTTGAGGAGGTTTATATTGGTGCAAACAGGTGGGATTCGATTCCACATAACAGAGTAGCCTCTGTAGCCATGAAGTTTTACAAGGAGAAGTTCTTGAAGCTCGATCCTGAAGGTTTCAAAAAGTACTTGGAAGATGTTAAATTCGGTTAAGAAACAATCGCCACCGGTGCTTTGCTCCACCATGAGATTATTAAAGCTTTGGATGTTAATAACGACGATGGAGAAGTTGCAGAGCTACAATGGAAGAGAATGGTTGACAATTTGCTTAAAAGGGACAAACTCTTAAATTAATTGTATGGCTATCGGTGATGTCTCCGGTATTATGAGCGGCATACCAATGGAGGCGTCGGTCACACTGGGAGTTCTGGTTTCTGAACTTAGCTCGAAGCCATATATGGAAAGGGAAGCTCATTACGTTCAGTAGTAATCCCCAACGCCAAACTATGGAAGGGGATGATCTCGGGTACAAGACTGACATTGTGAGGAATATGGATTAGAGAATGGACACCAATTTCAAAATGGGTGTTCGATCTCACCTCAAAGTCACCGTCCGGGGATAATTGAAACCGAAGCAGGTGATTAAGAGGCTGTTCGTGTTTAATGAGATGGAATTCGATCAGGCCTCGGTAAATCCTGGGAGATCAACTTTTAGAGTCTGTTTGGTTTACGGATGGCAATTTGCTCCAAAATCACGGAGCTCTTTGGGGATTTTCGTTGCAGGAATTGATATTTGGAGAAGATTTTATCAGCAGGATGGGGATGGGTCCCTGCCCACGGGGGAGCCGTTGCTATTCCTATTTTGGGTAATATACCGTGTGATTAGAAAAGTTTTTATTAAAATGGTTGTAATATGTTTTATTAAAATTTTATTAAGTTATTAATTTGTTACATTTGCTAAAAATTGGTATAAGAAAAAATTAGTATAAAAAGTTGTTAAGTGAATTTAATATAAAAATAGTGTAGAAAAACTTTTTTTCTTTTTGGTAAAACAGATGTAAAGAAAATTTTACAGGTTTAAAATTATGTTAAGAAAAATAAAAATTTTAAATATTACTTTTATTTTATTTTATTATAATATTAATGGATGAAAATAGAGAATAACTTTATAAAGAAAAAGATTTAGAGAATTTTAAGGAGAAATTAAACACCCCCTCAACGTATAGTGGGGAAGTTCACTAACAAAGGGTATGGAACGACAATCCCACAGATTGTGTCTTGGAACCTGAGAGAATCGAGGGCGACTTTGGTTCCCGAAGATCAAAGTGGGGTGGCATTGGTTAGTGAATTCTCAAAGAATTTGCTCAAGATTTTCTTGAACAATGATGGAGATATAAACCCTGAGGGTATCATGGAGCAAGCCATCTCAGTGAAGAGTACCCGAAACTGGTGCTGCTTGATTGATGAGAGTACAGTCCAGGAACCAAGGGAACAAATAATCAAACTGCTTTTGTCAATTCTAAAAATTTTTAGTTACATTCCCTTTAGTTTTATCATTTTCAAATGAATGAACTATGACAATCTTGTTTTACAATGTAATACAAAATGAATTGTAAAATATAAATTATTAAATATGATAGAAAGTCTTAATATTCAAAGATCTACTTTATCTAATAGTTAATGTTATGCAATTCAAATTATGTTACATATTTTCAATGAAGTATTATTCTTCATATGTTTACCTATTCCAATCACATTTATGCATTTAGATGTTGTTATTAAGTGGATTCCCATTTGAACGATCACTTATGAAGTGCTTTTGTCATTTCTAAAAATAGCAACAACAACAAGAAAAAAGAACCTTGATACCTTAGAAATGGAATTGGTAAGGTAAATGGTTAGTAAAATAGTTCTCTCATTTCAGTATTTATGTTGAAGTGCCATTATTTTGGTTGTTAATGAGTTGTTTTAGAATCAATACTAACATTGAAACTTCCACATACACAACATCTAATATTAAAACCAAGCAAAAATCTTGGTTCCCTATATATATATATAGATTGTGGTATTGTTGGACAAATCAAGCTCATGCCCTAATATTAAAAAAGGACATTAATACACATTTTTTAATTCAATATATTTCACAATATATTTATTAAAAAATTATTATTTTTATTTAAATTTATAAAAAAAAATTTAAAAATATAACATTACATATAATATAAAAAATTTAACAAATGAATTAAATGTATTTATATTATATTTTAATAATTAAATCAACAAAATATTAACAAACTTTTTTAATTAAAAAGTATTCATATCATTTTCTATATAAAAACCATATATATATAAGTGACGCGATAAAAACACTCCCAATAATTTAAAGAGAATGAATAATAAAATGTAAGTCTCCCACTTAAGATTAAATATTCATGCAATAGGTTCTTCATTTCTTAAAGCATGATAGATTAAATTTTTAAAATTAACACAAAAATTATTGTTGAGATAAGTTAAATTGATATTATTGTTGAGATAAGTTAAATTCCGATCATTGGAAGTTGCACGGATTGTAGATATGATGTGGTACAACAGATCTATTAAAGGACAGGCACTAACGAACATACGTACACATTCTGTATCACAGACAAATGCACCTATTTAAAGGTAGAATAATAATAGGGATGACGATTTTTTGTGTGCGTAATGGAGGGCTAATTACGTGGCAGGCCACGTATTCAGCCAACTGTTTTATGAGTTTATTATTATTATTTTTTTTTTTTGGAACAATCTACAATTTAGGGAAGAAGAAGGGGAAGGGAGATTTTCTCAAAGCATGGACGAGACTTGAAACCTCAATCAACTAACTTGAGATAGAGTTGGTGAGTAGGCAGTGGTTCATTTGGTAAGTCCACATCAGCATTTTCAAAGTATAGATAGAAAACTATAGGAAAAGACTAGACCTATATTGTTTTAAGTACAATATTTATGTGCAATATAATGTATCATTTTGTTATTAACTCTTTTAATCTAAAATGTTATGTGTAATATTACATCTATGTATACCTTATTCATACTTAACTATATATATACACAAACATAGAATTAGTGCTTGCCTATTTTATCTTTTTAAAAATTAGTTAGAAAATAATTTTAAAATTATGTCGTTTAAATAAAATATTACAAGAAAAGATCAACAATAATCAAATTCATGTTTTAAAAATATAATGTTTTATTATTTTTCAATAGAAATTTATTAAAACACTGTACTTTTAAAACAATCTTCCTTCTACCTTTTAGAAGATAAGGTGAATTCACACTTTTCCATTTATATGCCCACTTAATACATTATCATTGTTATTTTCAGTTGGCTTATAGAAATGGGTTCTGTTTCTACCTTTTAATGGTAGAATGTTTATTCCTTTTTTTTCTTCATTGCTTTTTTTTTTTTTTCCTTCATGCAGGGAAGATTTTTATGGAGCCGTGCTTGTATGTTATATAAAAATTTGTATAAATGTAAGTTGATGTACTGACCATAACCAGGCCCTAGGAAAATTGGCCATTACCAATGCGATCGAATTGGGCCCGAAGGAATTGTACCCACCACTTCAGTTCGTAGCCATGGCGTTTGAACTTTAGATGTAGGCTTTGCTTTAGGAATAGCAGCCCATGCCATAGTCTCACCTTCTTCAATCACATTGCTAACCTACTCTGGTGGAGTCTTCATCTTTCTATAAAAGATTTTAAGAAGGAAGTTTCTAACCAAAGAAAAGACACTAACTAATATAATCTTAATGTTCGAGAATGGTGCGAAAAGTAATCATTCTTTAGATTCTTTTCCCTCATTACTAAATGCGTAATCAATTGTAAGAAATTCTTAGAAATCTTTAAAATTTTTATTATTGATTATTAGTAATTTTTTTAAGAAAAAAGTGTTATATTGTTCATATTATATTAAATTATATAATATTAATTATTTATAAAAATTAAATTTTTTGATATTAAAATGTTTTTACTATCTAATAATATTTTAATATTTTATAATTTAATACAATTTAAATTATAAAATAGAGTTTTCTCCCCTTAATAATTAATAAGAAAACTTAAAAAATCTTATAGAATATTCTCAAAAAAGGGTGCTCCTAAGTCAAATTTACACCCACATGGCCAACACATTATCCAAACAAGAATAGGCGTTGGTCGGTCGTAGACCAAATCAAATAAAAAACACATTATCCCACAGTAAAAAGTACTCATGACTTTGATTAACGTTAATTTTGCGGCCCTGGTTGGACCAACTAACTTAACTAAAAAACGTTTGACATTTGCACAGATCTGACAGTTTCATTGGACCGTCCATTTTAATCCAATTCGGTCAAGCTAACTAAATTTGCCACGTGGCAAATCACCGTCCTCGGAGCCAGGTGCTGACACTTGGCACCTCATCCCTACGGCCTTTGAACACGCAATGGATATCCTGGGCTCCACCCAGCTACCAAATGCAAAAAATAAAGAAAATGATTGAGTGGATTTAAAAAAAAAATTCTTTACTATTACTTTTTATATTATATAATAATTATTTTTTTATTTTATTGAAATATATGTTATTCTATGTATTTATTTGTTTAAATATTTAAAGTTATATGTTTTTTAAACTTATATCTTAATTATGTA